CCCGACCCTTACACAGTGTGAGACACCAACGCACAGCAAACTCTTTCAAGGTGCTGTACTTTGAAGATGATGTAAAACACACATCCCCGGGACTCCCCTTTTTGTCATTTTTTGCATGGCAGATCTCAGCATGGTTCGGGCAGGCTGTGAGCCGACCAGATGGCACAGAGACACACAGTCAGCTGACAAACTGAGAAGAAGCGAAGGGAGAGAAAAACACAGGGTGAGGAAAGTGAGCTTAGGGTGTGAGAGAGCCAAAACACACTGTGACAGTAAGTGAACTAAGCTGCAAGAAGCTAAGGAGAGGATGGGGTACAGTAAAGAAGGATGAAAGAGATGTAAGAATAAAAGAGAAATAAACAAAAGAGATGGGATTGATGAATGACTTCTGACCTTAAAATAGACTACCAGAAGGTGAGATGAAGTCAGGAGTGAAATAAGTGTGCAGAGTAAAAGTGGTTCAGGCTGATTATTGGAAGATAGGAGAGATAAGAGGCTTTACCTGAAGGCTTGAGGAGAGGAAACAAAAGGAAGGAAGATGAGAGAAAGAGGAGCTAAGACATGCAGAACGGGAGCCTGTCTGTTTGGTCCAAACACTGAATGTGCAGCGATGAGGTAGCATGGAAGTCGTGATTAATTGTTGTCGCTCAGCCGACCCAAACACATTTTTTGCTTTGTTTGTCTGTGTGTATTTGATGGGTCCAGTCTTTCTGTCTGGCATCAGCATGCCTCTCATAATCAGACTGAGCAGGAATCTGAGTTAGCCAGATTAAATTCACATGTTGTCAGCAGTGGAATCAAAAGGCGGTGGGTTTTCTGTCCAACGCTGTCAGTGAGATGCATCACATGTGTGTCCTTTGTGCACAGAAAAGCTGGCAGAAATTCCAGCTGTGTAAGTTAACAGACTAATCAATATCACAACTCAGACACAGGAGAATCTGATGGATTAAAACTAAGTGTTGTTTTACATTTAATGATTAAAACAGAATGTAGGCTTCGACCATGTGCGAATTTGATGTAGTCCACAAGTACAAATAGGTGTCCTGGTTTAGGATAATAATGCTCATAGAACAATAAAAATGTTATAAAAGTGCTTACAGCTAACAAAGAAAATTCGGGGAAGAAATGTCTTAGAAATTATATTTATTACTGATGCTCTAAAACTTCAGAAACTGTTGAAAAAACTTTTCCTTCCTACTATCCAAGCAGAGGTTTGATGCATCTTCCAGGAATGGTGAAGCTATTTTCCAGAGAACTGTTTGGTCAATTGGATTTTTTCAGCAGCTGAAGACTTGCTTTCATTTCATTTTTGCGTCTGCATTTCAGCCGAACTTCAGCCTGAACGATGAGATTTTTACTACAATACCTTTTGATTAGATTAAAGTGCAGATTAAATCAGCTCAAGTATTTTCAGTTTTTATAAAATGAACTATTAAACTCACTTCAAATTGGATTAAATTACCATAATGAAAAAATAAGCACCCTAACACACTCTTGTGTTTTAACAAAATTCAATATTGATTCATTTCACAAAAACTGTAATTACACTGCTTTAGGCACCAATAAGTGATGTGTTTAATAACTATCTCAAATAAATAACAAAAGCAATTCCTCATACTTTTATTGCTTATTATTTTACTATATGGCAAAAAGTAACAACTCACTCACCATAAGCAGTGAGACAACAGCTTGAGAATCATCAGCCCACCAACCCCTTGCACTCATGGTGTCACAGCTTAGCAATCCTAACATGAAGGCAAATAAAACATTACCACAGTGAGTGGCATTTTACATGACCTTATGTGCATACGCTTTGCTCTTTCAAACCTTGAACTTGCACAACACACCCACACAAAATGCTATTAATAGACATTGACATAAGGTTAGTTGTCGGCTTTTATCCCTCTTAGCAATTTCATGGTCAAATCCATGATTCAAAACACACGCCTACTTCATTTGTAAAGTAGTTGAAGTTGACAGTACTCAATCCTTTTAAAAATTGCTTTTGACATTTATATTGAAAGTATGTGTTAAAGTGCAAAATAACAAGGGAATATCTGTTATCTCGTGTCTTGCTAGTTTACACTGTGGAGTTATTAGTTACTGTAGCTCGAGTGATTACACCAGGAAATTATAAAGTTAGATTGTTTTGGAAAAATCACCTTGA